AAGTAAGGGTTTATATAAAAAACAAAAAACGTATCATAACAAAACAATAAACAATCATGTGATCTCGTGTTATGATACGGGATTTTTGTAAAATTATCTTCTAAAAATATTAAGTTTAAAAATTCCGTATACATTCCGCATGATTAATTTTTTCCGTATACATTTCTTATACATTAGTTTTTTTAAAAAATGTTCAAAAATGAATTGCTTATTAAATATACGGAATTTGTATACGGAATCTATAGAAACGTACAAAAAATGTATACAAAACGTATCCTTTCCGTATACATATTTCTTATAGGGAAGTAATTATTCAACAAGAATCTATTGTTTTAAAAAGGAGAACCAGTTATTTCTCTGCGTTAATAACTGAAAAACTTAATTTTTAGTACCCGAGGCAATAACTAAGAAGGATATCGTAATATTTATGGTATTGCATAATATGACTCCGTATCTAGTGATTTAACTGGTAAGGAGAATTATACAAGGCGCTAATTAACTTTATGCGGTCTTATTCCGCATATTGTACGCATATCCATACGTATATTTATAAAACGATAAATGATGAAATAATCTGCGGTGTAACATTTATTTTTATTTCTCTTTCTTAGAATTCCCTTTTATAGTTACAGTAAATTCCGTGACGCCATTTTTGATTACACATAATTAGTTAATATAGTAACGACAGTTTTTTTATGATTTTCCTTCTTTGATCTTATTTATTCATTTTGAAAATCGCTTTGTTGTGATTTCCTAATTTTGTTGATTAAAGTTTACTACAGTTTTGTGTATCATTTGAATAACACGTTGATCTTTCAATTTCGACAAAAGAATCTAGATTAAATAAATAATGTAATGAAAGATAAATATTCGCAAATATTGATCATGTGGTCGTTTCAATCAGTATTTTTGTAAAAAAGTTTATTTGTTATTATATAACATGATTAAGCTATTTAACAAAATAATTACTATATTTGATTAAATTATATTTTTAGGAAACATTGAAATTATAAAGTTCATAAAGATTTTCTATTTTATCATTTTTTTTCTAAAATTTTTAGTTTTAATGACTAACAATTGGGATAGTCCTTTTTTTTTGTTTCTTCCTCTCTTTTTAGCATGCAAGATATTGATGAGCCGGAATGTGGTGATCTCTATTTGATTAACCACTTTATATCATGTTACTTTATTACTTTTTTTATAATCTATAAGATAAAAAGAACATCTGATGAAATTAATGATGCAGCATATTCTATTTCAGAAGCTTTAATATAACAAAGAAAATAATCAAAGATCTACAGTACATACAGTAACTACATTTGTTAAATAAAAACTTTCGGATCCAATCAAAATTTCTTTAGTGTTTCACCTATTAGTCAGAAACAATGGTCTATTTGGCTTTTTTTTTTTTGTATCACATCAAACTTTTGCTTATGAAAATCATCGAAAATGTTGTATCACATCATACTTTACTTATAAAAACCATCGAAAAATTTGATAAATTCATAAATTTTTTAAGTCGATTTTTAAAGTTACTTTCTATTCCAATACCACTCAAAACAATTTAGTTAATAAAATAAAGTAGAAACTTTAAGCTTCCTTTATATGAATATATTGAAGTTTAGGATCATCCATTTGTTCCCATAATATTTTCAGGAACGGCTTTCCATTTGTCTTTCAAAAATAAAAAATTACAAATTATTTTTATTCTTAAATTTTTTTCTTCATAAAAATTCGTGCTTATCTTGATAGAATGATATTATATTAAAAGCTTTTACCTTTATTGTTATTTAATAAATTTTTTTTTATAACCAACGATTATCCTCCTCTCAAATAACTCCATCGTTACATTTCATCCAACTTTATCAACGTTATTATCAATTAAAGAACCATTATGAATATGAATATTCAACCTAATACGCAAAGTAACACACAAATGAATGAATGTAAATTTTTTCATTATGCACCAAATTATGATAAATTTTATCATATAACTTGTCAAACTATTTTACAAGGTTTTGACTCCTTTGATAATTACAATTATGATCATGGATTCTTTTATAATATTAACCCTACAGCAAATTATTATGTCACGTGTAAAATACTTCCACATTCTTTGATCACAAATATGTTGAATAAAAAAATATACGGAATAGATATTGACATAAATAATTTGGAACGAAAAGAATTATTATCTTTGAATCAAAGATTGAATTTGGAACAAGATTTGGAACGAATTCTTCCTTTTCATCTTAAACAATATCATACTACTAATAAAGAAATAAGAATGAATTCTTCTTACGAACATGATAATACACAAACAATTTCGATAACTGATAATCAAACTAATTTTGATAATAACTTCCCTCAACAAACTAGAGCCGGATATTTTACTAATAATGTCATTAATCCACAACAAATCCCTGAACGATTACGTTGTAAAGGAAATACAGATTCATTTTGTGAAAATATTGGAAATAATGTAATGACAACACAAGCAGTTTCGATAACAGATAGTCAAAACAATGGTTTTCCTCAACCCATCAATCCCCTTTCAAGTTCAACATCTTCGGTGCCACGAAATAGAGTTACTTATAATGTTACTAATTCACAACAACAAATTGATTTCAATAATATTCCACAACAAATTACAGATAGAGAAATGAGATCGAATTATTATGGAAATTTAAATTCATTTCATGGAAATATTGTGCACAATACACCCGTAACACAATCTGTTTTGACAACTGATATTAATCAAAACTATGGTAATTATATCCAAGATGTAAATGGCGCTAGAAACTTTGCTTACATACAGCAACAAGTTGATCTTAACAATAATTATAGAGACACAGATTTACATAATGGAAATATTGGAAATAATGTAACGACAACGCAAACCAATGGCTTGACATGCGATCACCAAGATATAAATGATATTAACCAGGCTAATAATATCAACAATAATCATAGAGATACAGATTCACATAATGAAAATATTGAAAACAATGTAACGACAACGCAAGTTAATGGCTTGATACGCGATTACTAAGATATAAATGACCAAGTCAATCATATCAACACTACCAATTATAGGGACACAAATTCGCACAATAATAATTTTGATAACAATGTAATGACAACGCAAACCAACGACTTGATATGCGATCACGATGTAAATGATATTCACCAAGTTACTCGATTACAACATGTGAAACCGGTTTGAGTAAATTTAATTTTATTTCTCGTTTACGTTAGTTAAAATAGACGGGCTTATAAAATAACTGAAGGACTAACCAAAATTAACGAATATATTATTTTATGTTATGTCTGGAAGAAATAAAAATAACATGTATACAATAGATTATTTAGGTTTTAAATTATTAAGAATTAGCCAATTTAATATGGTTCAATTAAGGACTTTTTTATTTTTTTCTTTATTTTTAATTTATGGAGTATTACTTTATTATGAATATAAGTTCATTAAAATTAAAAAATTATGAATAATAAGGAAATAAGATGTTATTTAAAACAGCGGCTTTTTTCCGATGATGAACTACTTATAATTTATACATTGAAATACATATGTCAGACACCTTTATTATTCTTTCTAAGAACAAAGGAAACTCAATTGTTGAAAATTTGTGATCAAGGTTTCTCTACATAATTATTGATTGTTTAATTTTATAAAATAGGGATTTTATGAACTTTGCGACTAATAGTACATAATCGGTAAAATTGCAAACCTTCATCAAAGTTAATTCCGGACTGAATAATACGAATTTTAATTAATAATTTAATATTATTATATTTTAAAGCTTAAGAAGTTCAAATTTGCCTTAAAAAAATTTTTATATATACGAGATAATTTGTTGATCATTTTAATTGTTATGAAATTTGTTTACTATCCTCAAGGGAAATAATTAAAAGCTATTTAAATAATTAAAATCGAAAAATGTAATAGCGGGATAGCTTGCTTTTTTTATGCATTTGGGGCAAAAATTTACGCACACCGAATGAACTTATTGGTTCCCTTTTTTGGGACTTTTGAATAATGTATGGTACAATGATCATCTCCGCCGCTCCTTTCCGAGGTAATTAGTATAAAAGTGCCTCAACTTTCATCAAAATAAATTTACAAAAAAAATGGAGTCTCTATACAACAAACTGTAGATACATCAATTTCATTCGCTCTTACTAATAAAAAGGGGTATGTTATCTCGCAAGATCCGCAGTCTCGCGCTGATTGGCTAATTTATGAGCACATGCACTGTTCCACGCAGTAAACTAACATTCATTTATATTATAAAACTAAGTCTCCTAAAGAAGCAATATGTCTACTTCACCAGCTGCTGTTATTAATCCAGTTGCAACAATTATACAACGTTTTCTAATTACTAAGGGAAGGTTTTTTCATTGTACACCAAATGATAAAAATTTTTACTTGATAACTTACAAAATTATTCAAGAAAATTCAAATTATTACGATGAAAATGATTCTGATTATAATCTTAATTACGATCATGAATTTTTTTTATCAACATTATGCAATGAAGTATTATGTCAGGTGTAAATTATTAACTCATTTAATAGTTGAAGATTTATTGAATGCTGAGCAGTTTGATATAAATACACAAAATAACGAAACACCATTATCTCCACAACAAAAATTAAACCTTGAAGAAGGCTTGTATATAAAGCTTTATTTACGTATTTCACAAGGAACGGATGAAATTATAATGTAAATAGTACATTATGGTGCGTTTATCACATTTATTATCATTAAATTATTTCAGTTTCTGTGAATTTTAAAATATAAAATATTTCTCTCCTACACCATAATCATACTTCATTCGTTTTTTTCAAACTTTACTTTCCCTACTATATCTCTTAACTCCTTCACCTCTTCCTTCATTATTACCTAGAATTATTATTTGGTCAACTCTTATGCTTATCACATCATTCTTATACTGTAAATTTTTTAATTTTTAAATAATTTATAAAGGAAATGATATCAATCACTACGCATATAATAAAATTTAAGGCAAAATTTTCTTATTATGATAGCCATATTAGGCCACACAAATTCGAATTTTCGGTTCACTTCACCCGGCCGGGTCACTTTTTCAAATTTCAATAAAAAAAAGTTTATATATAAAAAATTTATCATGTGATCAGGACGTAATTTTATTGGCGGGTAAGTTTATCACGCGGCTGAGAACTTCTGAGAAAATAAATTCCTCCCTTTTAAAAGACAACCAATCAAATGTCACGATTTTATATATAAACTTTTTTTACTAATAAACAATAAACCCCGGGTCCCCGGGTTGATTTTAAATTTCAATGTTACGTGAACCGAAAAATTGAATTTGTGTGGCCTTATGGTGCCGTATAGTTATTAATGGTTTTTCTACTACTGTATTAACTAACCGAATTGTGATTAGTTTCATTCACTCCTTCAAATCGTATTGAACTTCTTAAGCTTTAAAATATAATAATATTAAATTATTAATTAAAATTCGTATTATTCAGTCTGGAATTAACTTTGCTGAATTGTGATTAGCTTCATTCACTCCTTTCAAACATGACCAAATTTGGACACACTTTCAATGTAAATAAATGTAACACAACCCCATAGTCCCTTATTAGCTTTTTGTGTAATTATTAAAAAAAAAAGCTAAAATTAATTTATGCAGTTTTTTTTCAACCAGTTCATCCATTGTTGTTTGTAGTAGTTATTCATTGTTTTCATTACACTTTATTTTTCCATATGATGATCTTATCCTTTCATAAGCGAATATGTCCTTTTTTTTTTAAAAAAAAAAATGGTGATTAGTATGTAAATTTTTACAAATAGAGGAATAAAAAAATAAATATTTGGTATAACAGTTTCTTTTATTAGTAGTATCTTTATTTACTGACTTTTAATTAATTACATATTATTCCTATTATTCAATATACACAAAGTAAAATATAGCGGGAAGAAACTTCACCCTATAAAAACGAAATGTGTTAAATTTATTTTAAATTCGTGCTCATGTGTAATAAATGTCTGAAAAAGCACCATTTTGTTTAATTTTGTTTTTTTGTAATAAGACATAAATCGGATAAAATGATGCTTTTTTAGATATTTATTACACATGAGCACAAATATAAAACAAATTCAACACATTTCGTTTTTATAGGGTCAGCAAGACTAAAGGAATTATAAGAAAATTATTATCGATTAAAAAATTTTTATATTTGAAATTTTTGAATTATAAGTAATTATTTAACAAGAATGTACTATTCAATGGTTTTAAAAAAGAGAACCAATTTTTCTCTGCATTAATAAAAGCTTAATTTTTAGTACGATGTGTAGTATAATGCAGGACGCTTACCGACTCTATTCAGTTATATTCCGCACAGTGCACGCAGTGCACGCAGTGCACGCATATTATGCGTATATCATATCGGCTGATCAGAAAAGCCTCCCCATAATTTTATACACTAATGACAATAAGTAACCCATCAGTTATATAATGAACCCATCAACTGAGCTTAAATATTAATTGGCTTGATTTTTCCAATCAGCCGATATGTAAATCTATAATGATCCCATTGTGAAAATTTTCCTAAAGCTCTTGAATTTATTGTGATTTTGAGTTATTTAATAAAAAGTAAAGAGTTTAAAAGAAATTATTATGACAAACATATTTTAATTAAATTTTTTCGATTCAGTATATTAATTTTATATGAGCCGATGCATTGTTCAGAATATTATACTTTTTTATTTTATGATTACTGTATAATTATTAATCGACGTTGATCCCCATATTAAACTATAATGCAATGATGAGGTTGTTCAATCAATATATTTATGATAAGGTTAACATACTTTGATTAGATTATATTTTTAATAATTAAACGAAAAATAAAAAACATTTTCTATTATATTAAATTTTCAATGACAAATAAACAAATTAAGAAGTAAATTCGACATTTTTTTTATAAAGTTTTAAATTAGTATTTTGTGTAACTAAAAATTCCTTCCTTTATTTTTTTTTCTATTTATCCTATATTGACAAATAAATGATGAAACGATGCATAAATAAACAGATAAACAAAGATCTACATTCACAACACAAACACAAGTTTTGATTAAAAAAATTTATAATTTCGATTTCGAAATCTGATATTAGTTCTAGCTCTATCAATCTGGTTTATACACTTTGTTAACAATATCTCTATTAATAATATTGTTCTTTTATCGGTTCGAATCATGTATCAAGTATATGGTAAAAAAATTCGTATACTTACAGTATGTTCATCGATAAATTAATATATATTTATACCTTCTTTTATTTGAAGACATAAACAAACAAAAACTAAGCTAAAATGGTTAGCTTCATTGTTTGATAATTTCGTATATAAATATACCAAACCCGATTGCAAGAGGTCTATAACCCTTTTTACTTTTTTCTCATTAAAATTATTGAAAATAAACTCCGGTTGTTTAATAAATCAAAGAAGCAACATGTCTACTTCATCAGCTACTGTTAATCCAGTCGCAACAATTATGCAACGTTATTTAATTAATAGGGGAAGAATTTTTTCTTAATAACCTACAAATTGTTCAAGAAAATTCTGATATTTTTAATGATAATGATCCTGATTATAATCTTAATTACGATCATGAATTTTTTTATCAATATTACTATACAACGAATTACTTTGTTAGGTGTAAATTATTACCTCATTTAATTGTTGAAGACTTACTGAATAATGAGCAACTTGATATGAATACACGGAATAACGAAACACCATTATCTCCACAACAAAAATTAAGCCTTGAATAAGGATTATATATTAAGATTTATTTACGTGTTTCACAAGGAACGGATGAAATTATAATTTAAATAGTACGTTATGGTGCGTTATCACATCCACAAACTTATTAAATTATTTGGTTTCACGTAATAAATTAGGATTTTTAAAAATAAAATATTCTCCCTTACACCATACTCCTTCATTTTTTCAAACTTTACTTTCCCTCATCACAATTCCTTCACCTCTTCCTTCATTATTACCAAGAATTATTTAGCCAACTCATATGAATTTTTATCCAATTTTTACTAAATTAATTACTGAGAATATAATATTTAGTTAATCAGAATCTCGTGATTAAAGGAATGATGTAGTGGTCCTTTAGTAATCAATTAGCTCCTCTTAACGAAGATGCCGTAGAATATTCAATTAATGCAAGCGAGAGTTTATAAAGATTATCCCCCCAAAGGATGGTTATGAAATAGTCGTCAACTTAAGAGCGATGGAAAAATATGGGATTCCATGAAATTTGCAGTGATGTCAACGAACAAGGTACTGCTTCAATTTTATTTCCCTCTTAATCCACCAACTGATTGGATAATTCCTGACGGTTGATCTTGGATTTCAATTGATTGTGGAAGAAACATTTCATTTGTTATGATGAAGATTCAGCACAACCAAATCCCTTTGTTACCTCTTTCATCAACACCTTTATTAAGCGAATTTAATATTTACTCTACGAATCTATTCGTCATCTCCATACACCCCTTTCAGATGAAGAATCAGCTTCGGCGAGAACGCAAAAACAAATAATTACTGCGTACATACGATCAGAATATAGTTATAGAAGATATCACTTTCTTCAATAAATTTCTGGTGCAACATTTCTGAAAAAGATAGTAAATTTCTTTCACGAAAGAATGTCCCACGCTTCCATTTGAAGATATATTGATGATGCAATTAATGACGACGATGATAACCTCACTATCACCTCGGAGGAAAAGGAGACTACATTAATCCATATTCTCTGATGATCATGACTTTCTTGTTAATTAGAAACGTCGTACCATGTGAGGTTTCGTTAGCACACTCTCTAAGGAAAAAAGAAAAAAAAACAATTTCCTTTATTTTTGAACTATTTCATATTTGACAGTATTTATACATGGTGAAAGAATAATAAGGAATACTATTAAAATTAGATAGATACCTCTTTTAAAAATTTTTATTTCTTGATTAGGGCATTTTAATTTTTTAGTTTTAAGCTAGCCGAGCCTGTATAATAACAGGCGGGATGAATCCATCTTGGTGTGGAATTTAACTGTTAATAGTAGTTTTAATTTAACAGTCTTGTCTATACCATAAAAATAAAAAAATAACAAAATTAATTTACTTTACCATAAAAAAAAATTTAAGAATTCTTACATTTCTTTTATATAATAATTTATACAGTATGTAGTATCTGTTATTTACATTCTTATAACAACAATTTTTTACCTTCAATTAAATGTATAAGTGTCAAAGAGTCTAAGGTCGAAAAGTTGAACTACAGTAGGAAGGCCTTCCTTTGTATAAACGAATTTTCCATGACAAAAACTTTTTGTATATCTGATATACGTATATTAGGATAGGTAATAATCGACCAGTAAATAAGAGAAAGAAAATAATTATTTTTTGGAAGAAACTCTCATATATTTAAATGGAAAACGATACTTGTCCTATGTTACTCGACATTTCCATAAAAATCACATGATGTACAGTACTCAAATTGTTATAAATCATAATAAAAAATTCATGTGTTACCTTTTTCCCCTTTTTTGTATTTTATCAAAGTTACGTTTACCATGCGGTATGTTTTTGAAAAACCCCTAATTTTGTCAATAAAAATATAATAATAAAAAATTCATGTCATAATTTTAAAGATTATAATCTGAACTAATCATTATCGTTAGAAAAATAGAATTTTCTTAAATAATTTTGTAAGTTATTAATTTATCGTTTGGTTTAAGTTGTTGCAACTGGAGATCATAGTAATAGACATATTGGTCATCAGTTTTCATTAAAATCCTTATTGAAATTTCCAAATGTTAAGAACTAAAAGGAAAACCGATCAAAAAAAAATCCAATACATAAGTAAATATAATTAATTATATCGGTAATGTATTCAAGTGCTACTAATGTGGTTTAATTGATCGTAGCACTCCAGTACTCCAGAGTGTTACGATCTTTACCTTTTAGCAGGTACCGTAACTAACAGACTCAGTATTAATAATACTGCGCCATTTAAATCTTAACTAAAACTGATTAGTAAGAGTAAATATAATAAATAACTTACGTTTGAAAAAATTTTTAGAGGATACATAATTAATTCTTAAATACAATCATGAAAGTCTTGACTCGGTAATTAATAGTATATTTCATTTTTTTGTGATACAGTGAAAGAGATATCATTTCTTGCGAAGTTATATAGTAGTACTTTTCCATGAGTTTGAGTCTTAATTTAAACTAATTAAATTTGTTCATTTAGTAGTCCTAGGAGTACCGGTCCTGGTCTTAGGACTGATCTTTACGGTCTTCGACCCAGGACTTGCATATCACAAATCACAATCATTTTTTTTCCCATTCTTTAATAGTAAAATAAAGTAAGCTATTTTTTATAATTTCTCGTGAAAACAAATAAAATTATGCGGGAAAAAGGAATTGTTTATAATGCTGTTACGTTTACTTACAAATTTTAAAATTTTACATATAATAAAATATTTTTTTACACTCTTAAAATGTCGAAAATAAAAACCAAAGAAGCAACTCCTTATTCAAATATTCAAATATTCCTTTATAATTATACTTTAGATTATTAAAAATTTATTTTAATAAATTAAATGTTTTTTTATACAAGCACCTGACAGATCATCATTTTAATCACAGGACTTTAAGGACTTTACATATATGGCTGTTGCATGATTTGCATCACTCACGATTTTTTTTGTTGCACAACGTATAATTATGATAAAAAACTTAATCACGTGAGGAAGGTTAGGGATTCTCAAGTCTACTGTACATTTTTCAACATTTCTACTAAACTTTATTTCACTAGGCATTTTTGTGAAAAACGAAATATTGGCAAAAAAAACTGGAAACTTTCATTTCTTGTTTATTAATAACAAGATTTAATGTTTGTTTTATAATGTTGTTTGAATTGTTGGCAGTATTTATATTTATAATTTATATAATTTTATATTTATAATTAATTGAAGATAAAAATTGGATATCACATATGAGGTATTATATAATAAAGGAATAGGAATGTATGAATTACGATCGATAGTCTGGTAAAGTATTATTTATTTTATTTTATTTTATTTTAGAGAGGAGTAACCTATGATGAATACCTAATATAAGTTAACAACAACTTGAGTGAAAAACTATACTATTAGGGGTACTGTGGTTATATATCCTGTAAACAGGACCTCACCCTCCGGGCGGAACTACTCTAACAGTAAAACTACGCTACTGATAAAGATTAGAAAAAGAACTATATATAACAAAAACTAATCTAAAAAAAAAGAAACATTAATATTAGTAAAATCAGTAGGTAGTAAAGTAGTAAATATTAATGCCCGTCAGGCTTATATGTAAAATAAAAATATATTGTTAAATGAAAATTTGATAGATCGTCATTGAGCGATGATAACCAAGGTAGGTTATGTAAAAAGTTCGATGAGGTTAGGTAAATCCATAGGTTGTTATTCTCAACTCGTCATCTTGAGTTGTTCAACGGACAGTGATATCCATTGATATGGTTAATATTATTATAATCAGTTTGTCTAAGTCTTTGAGCTGTTTCTTGATGATAATTACGTCTGTAATTGGTGAAAGATTTTTTAGTGATACCTCATGATTTTTTGAATTGGCGCCATGCTATAGCTTGTTGTTTCCATATTTTCTCATATATATCTTTATATAGGTCGAATAGAAATTTCAATAAGCTAATTTTAGCCACTTTGAATGGATAGGTTAAGGAAGTTGGAATAAAGTTCATCAGAAGGCAATGGAGTTCGGGTATATTGATGATTTGTTGAGGTGGTTTTTTAACCCATTTAAAAATGGGGTTACGCGTGATGGAATCTGAATATAAGGCATAAAGCGAGTTTGATTCCGAAGTAATGAGCGTCTTGAATTTGTTGTAATGTTCTTCGAATATTGGTGTAAGAAGAATTACACTTGCGGGCAGTTCCATAAGTGTTCGTTAGTTTCTTTATATATATGTTGAGCATAAGATGCAAGTTTCATAATTTTGAAGTAATTCAGGATAATTACGATTGAGGATGTCCAGTGTTGGTAAATTATGACTGGAGCATTTAACTCTCCAGCTTATATGTTTGGTATATTGTTTGCTAGTTGGTTTAGAAAATGAATTATATTTAAACCATAATTGTGAATATTCCCAATCTATAATATTATTGAGAGCGTAATGTTTTACTTTTTGTAAGTTCTGATGTGCTAAGTGCCATTCAAAATATTGAAAGTTGGTTATTCTTCTGATAGATTTTCATATGTTACGATCAACAGTTGTAGTATTATTAAACGTAAGGTGGCATGTTTGTGTTTTAATGTGTTGTATGTTGAATTGTATAAAATTAATCGAAGATCTACCTTCTTTTGCTAAAATGTCAGCAGCATCATTAAGAGGATTGTCTGAATGTGCTTTCACTTTAATTAATGAAACTTTCAAATGTAAAGTATTAATGATATGTTCGGGCGTATTTCATAGGGAACAATTGTTAAGTTTTTGGAAACGTCTAGCAGTTAATTTTGGAGAGTGTAGATCATTAAATGTGTTAATGCAATTGTTCGAATCGGTATAAATATTGATAGTACTATGGGGTGGGCAGACTATTAATGCTGTAATAATAGCGACCAATTCGGCTTTCGTTGAGCTGGCCCATTCTTTACATGAGCCTGAATATTTAATATTCATTGATAAATCAGAGGTGAAAATCCAACCAAAACCCATGATTGGTATATCATCGTCTCGACTGAGCGATCCATCTGTATAAAATCCTTGTAAAAAAAGTCTATCCATTTTTTATATTCCGTCTTTTTTCCGTAAAAGGCTCATATTTCTGGAATTAATAACCTTATATCACGGAATTTATCGAATTATTTACATTTTCCGTGAATGGATCCATGAAAGGCTCATTTTTACGGAGTTTTTACAGAAATAACGGATAAAATTTTTTATAGGGAATTCTAAGTTAGTAAAAGAAAAAAGTTGAAAAGAAATATTTAATAAAGGAATATGTAATAAATTGGGTATAATTAATTGTATAATAAGATTTCTATTAAGCTGATTAATCGAGTCTAAATCTATTAATTGTTGTAATTGTGATCGATATATTATAGGATCATTTGAAATATCCGGGTTTTCTAAAGGGCGAGAAATTAAAATCTATTAAAGCTATTTGTCTAATAGTAGAATGTTGTTTAGAACATTTGTAAATTGGTTTTTGGTAATTAGGAAAGGTATGATTACTTTTTGATATATTAATAATAAATGTAGAATTTGATAATGAAGTAATATAACAAGTGTTTAAATTGTTATTGTTATAAACATTTTGTTCTGACAAACGACAACCAGTACATTTAGAAAGGTACGTGGGGCATGATCGTGGTGTCAAATTATTGTTGGAAGGATGTGAATCAGGTATGTGTATAAAATGTTCAAAGGTAATAGTTTGATGGTGGTTATAAAAGTGATTTTTTTCTATGACTCTTCCATAAATTACGTTATTAGTTCTGGGACACCAATAGGCAATCCATATATTTTTTATTCTTGTAATTTTGGAATTTTGAGCGATAACTTTTGGTTTTGTAATAGTCGAATTATGATAATTATTTACTGGTAAGTCAAAATTTAATTGTAAGTTATTTTGGTTGAGAACGATACATTCACGTAAATATTTGTACCATGCAGGAGGTCGACCTTTTTTGTTGGATAACGAATTTTGTATTTCTTTCCATGATTTAAGAAATAGTCCATCAACGGTAATAATCTGTTGTAGATAAAAGAGTTCTTTAGTTTTTAAAGATTTAATATAACTAAAAAATTTGTTTGATCGAATAAGATATGCTGAAAAGGGGTAAACACCTCCTTTAGTATTAAATTTGAAGGAAAATTTGAATTCTAATTTATAATTGTGCATAATACATAATAAGTTTTCAATTCTATTTAATTTTTTAGAAGGTGAATCAAGGAACTTTGTGGTAAAAAAAATATCATTTGTCCATAATCTCGATTGAGAATATAAAATAAGATATTCAATAATATCACGTGTAAGGGGACTATTTGCTTGTGCATTTAATAACGATGCAAATTGGCGATCCCAGATATTTAATATATTCGGGTAAATTTGATTATGAATAATTGTGTTATAAATAGAGCGTGGGAGTAAAAGGGATGATTTGTAAATGGATCGAATAGTTCTATTAAAATTGTTACATATATACGGTAACAATATAAAATGTTGACAAAGGTATTCTATTCTAGGTATGTTGATGACGTAGTATATAACGTGGTCGTGTGTGATTCTTTTTCTTCGTAGATTAGAACAAGTATATTTCAACATTCTGTTAATTTTGTTAATTGTAAATTGGAATTTGTTGTTAGTATTGATATAAATTCCTAATATGCGTTCGTTATCTGATGGAGGAACGACTGTTATATCCACTAAATCTTCCCCAAATTTTAGAGGAATATGTTGTTTTTTGTTAATATCCTTATCATTAGTAAGGATTTTTGTTTTATCTTTGTTAATTTTGATATTAGCTAATGCATAAAAATCATCGGCAATCGATAAATTATTTTGTAGGTCGTTAAAATTTTGAGTGAACCAAGTTGTGTTGGTAACCTAGGAGTTTGATATTTATTGATTTTTCGTGAAGATCATTGTTGTGAAAAATATTTTTTGGAATGGCTACGTGGAGGTTGTAGCCTGGATAGGGTGAATTATTAATAGCAGCGAACATGGGATCATAATATATTACCCATAGCAAGGGAGAGATAACTCCCCTTGTATAATGCCATTCGTAGTGGTATATTCAGATCCACAACCAAAGGGAAATAATATTTGATTACGATGGTTTGAAAATAATTTTTCAATAAATGTGATTAATATTTCTGGGATATTGATTCGTTTTAAAGCTAGTTGTAGTAGGTTTAAATCCACTCTGTCATATGCCTTACTGAGGTCTTGAAGGGCGAGATAAAATGAGTTTTTTGTATCGTGTTGGTGATCTATGAGACTATGATAGCTTGAATCTGTAGAATTATTTCATTACAGGACACGCCTTGTATGCCTGCTTGATTATTTATTTGTAGAATATAATTAGTCGACAAATAATGGTTAAGTCTACCATTAATGATTTTGACCATCAATTTTCTTATACAATTTAGTAATATGATAGGTCTAGTCAGGTTAATATCATAATTCCACCATTGTGGCTTCGGTATTGGGTATAAGTATGCTAATTCAAATTGTGATGGTATTATTCCATGTTCAAGGCATCTATTAAAGATGAGAAGGAGTACTTCCAACATTTGTTGCAGTAGTTTTTTTATAATTTCATTAGATATGTTGTTAGGACCTGTAGCTTTGTTGTTAGGGAGGTCTTTAATATTATTCTTGAGTTCTTCCATTGTAATTGGAACGATCAACTTGTTAATTTCTGCTGAAGGGATATGATTCATCGGTTGGTAAATATCTTTCCAAGGTTGTCGTAATGGGATATTTTGATCATAAGATCTATTAGTTTTTTTGATTTGGATATGTTTTTATAGTGGTCTATGGTTCGCTGTTCTATTTGTTCGGGATCGGTAGTAAAGGTTTTAACACCATGTTCATCATCATATATTAGTCTATCAATTTTGATGATATTTGGTTTTTGATCTAATAATGAATTAAGCATCCTTTTTTGATTAGTAATAATAATATTATCTCTTTGATTAATATATTTTTCTATTTTGTTTTTGTTAAAATGACTTATTGCTTCATCGTAAGATATTTTCAGGATGTTATGAATAGTCTTTAATTTTTCTAATATATCCGAAAAATTATTGTGTATTAAATTGTGAGGCCACATGAACAATTTCTTCACGAACACACACAACCACATCACCACGTCAAACAACATTATAGAATTAAACAACAAAAAACATATCTCATCCAATGAAAAAATTAATTATAAAAAAGTCACAAAAGAACAATGGACCGACTTTCATAATTTTGTATGGGATGAATATATACACAGAAAATCACATATAACGCAAAATAATAATATACAAACATTTATTAATGCGACATATGATAATTTTACTCAAAGTATCAACTGTACCATCAAATCACTACATTTTCCTATACTAAAAAATAATTCTCATCAATACGAATATACACATGAAATACGTGTACTTCAAAATGATCTTTATTATATACTTAAATTGATCAGACTGTCACAATTATATTTTTCTGTTAATAACAACTCTAAACACTTACCATTACTAAACTTTTGGAATAGCCCAAAAAAATTAAACAGATTAAAACGTATATCCTCTGACCTAAAGATCAAAATGGCGATAACGCAAACGGATCAAGAAATATTAAAATCTTTATTAACCCCACCTCCAACGTTCATTAATCACAATAATCAAACATCATATATAGATATAATATTTGGATCACAAAATTTAATTAATTACATTACATTTGGTAATATACTACTAGATGCACCCATCAATACGGACCACAAATTGATATATATATCTATCAACTAAATCTTTATAAAATTTCTCTTTTAATGTATGTAAAATATGTTTGTGGTAATAATGTTGTGGAATATTAGGGTTGGTATTATTTATGTCTATAGGTATTTCATCCTCGTTTTGAGTTATGTTTAATGTTTTTCTATTATGTGGATTAATATTAAAATCGCCCATTAGAATAAAATAATTATGTTTGTTAGATTTGTTAAGTACTTTAGATATATAATTATCTATTAGTTGAGTTGTAGTACTGTGTAATTATTTTTAGCTGACGTAATGGGTGGTAAATATAATTAATTATATTTAATTGATGGTGTTTTCTGAAATAAAATGTAGCGTGTATTAATCTGCCTGGTATAAAGTATAATGGTCCTATATGTTTATATAAAATAGGTGATATTATAATTGAATTTCCAGATGCTTTATTATTTGGATCTGGATTATGTATAATGATAAATTTTTGATTGGAAGGTGTATGTGTAAATTGTAGGTGAGGTAATAGTTTGTTGTTATTTTTGTTATTTTGTTGGAAATCGTTATCATTGTTGTACGAGTTTTTGGGATCGTATTTATGTGTTTCACATAAATGTAAAAAATGGATATCAGAGTTGATCAAATGATCCTCTAATGTTAGGTGAAGCGACGTTAATTGAATTAGATATAAAAGAGTTTGGGTTAAAATATGAAGTTTTTTTGTTTTTTCTATAATTTTATTATTTTTTTGATTTTTATGATTTTTTTGAGTTAAAGGGGAAATATGTGAAGAAATATTTGAGGATTGGTTTTCGAGGCCAATCAGTGAATTATTATTGGTGTATTTCATAGATTAATAAAATAAATTTGGGTATGTGTTTATAATAAATGATGGATTATAATCAGTAATAGGGAATCGTTACCGGTGTTATATATGATAATGAGAGGAATAATAGACGTAAATTATTTACGTGTAGTCATTCCTGAGATTATGTTTAAAGGATTGTAAGATGATGCCATAAATGTGGAAGTGTTTGGAGTGTAATCTGAGTCTGGTTCGATTATTCCTTCATATGTCGTGTTGTCAGTTAATGTGGTGGTATCTTGAAGATCTAAATCTTCATCAGTTGCTGGAACAGCATCGCTATCTTCTGCTGACGCACGTGATTGTTTGTTAGATCTTAGATGGTATTTTCTTTTTGTTTGTTCGTATGAGGATTTATCATATGGAGAGGAACGTTTAGGTGATTTGATTGATCGTTCATTGTCAATTATTTTGTCGCTAAGTTTAGCTAAGTTATCCGTGAGTCTTTGTAAAATTTCATCGTATCTGTCTTGTTTAGAATTGACTATATTGAAATTTGATTCCGGGATAGTCGTATAATTTTTCTGAATGTTGTCCATTTGCAGGTTGTTTTGATTAAGAATGTTTTCCATTTTATTGATTTTTTCTGTTAATGTAGCTACTTGGTTTTCTAGGTTACGGATTTTATCTTGTGTTGATATGTCGGATGTGTAGTCATTATTTTGTCGTTTTGATGTTGGATAGCGCTCGTTTTGTCTAAATTGATCATGAGGAGTGTTTTGTTCCTTATGTTGTGAAAATGGAGATATGTATTTGTTTTGATTTTGTCTGGACATTTGTTGTTGTGGACGAGTATGGTTTTGATATTCGTTGTGGCGTGCATTGGTAGCGTTAAGAGTGATAACGTGACTAAATTTTGATTTATAGTCTTCGTTGATAGTGATTTTTTCGTCATTTCGTTTGATAATTCGTTTTGTAAATATTTTTCTATTGTTTTTATCTAAAATAAAATTTTTTTCGTCACAGTTTTGTATAGTATGTGTATGTGATCCACAAATGTTACATGTTTTTGGTGATAAAGAACATGGATGTATATATACTAGCGACCCATTAAATGGTGTGCTAACTATACTATTTACATCTTTTGGGTAGTTATCCGGGTGTACATAAACATATGCGTTTTTCATTGTTGAATATTTTGAGGGTTGTGTAAATGTGCATGTACGCCCGTATACGTGTTTTATAATTGGGTCGATGTCTCTAACCGTTGTATTAATTGGTAGTCCTGTGATTTTAAAAAATTTACTAGTACGTTTTTTGTATTCTTGGTCTTCAGAGTTGCCTGGAAGGATTCTTACAAGGAAATTTTCAATTTCTAAGCTCCAATAATCTTCCTTCATGAAGTAATCATATGCTGTTTGTTTTTGGAATCGTACTATTAGTTGTTTGTATGCAGGTTTTATAAAGATTGGTTTCTTTTGGTTATTGCGATTAGGAATTTTTCTAGGAGGTTTTTTGATTTCTGTGTGTTCGAGAATTGCGCTGCTGGTTTTATTGGCGAGATGTTTGAGTAACATCTTGGTGTCGTAGTTGTATGGAATATCCATGATTTTGATAACAGCGTTATCTAGATTTTTGAATTTTTGTTCAATTAATGTGTTGATAGTAGTTTTATTAAGTTCGTAGATTTTTATATTTTTTAACGAGGGTGGACTGTTCTTGATATATTGTTCAAGGGAGTCACGTGTTCTAAAGTATATGGTGAAATATCTATATGTTGATAGGACGTTGACTTCAAATTTGAATGCATTATTATCATTGATAAATGCGGTTTTTAAGATGTTGATGATATCATTGTTACTGATGTTTGGTTGAAAGCTGTCTTTAGGGACGAATGCTTTGTGTGCTTTGTTTAAGTCTTGTGGCGTTTGTTCAAATAGGTTGTTGAGCATAGTAAAGTGTATTTTATCTGGTAATTCATTTTGTGTGTTTGTTTGATATTCTGCTGATTTTCCTTTATTTGTGTTAAGTTCAATATGATCTTCTTCCATATAAGTAGATTCTTGTATGGTTGATGTAATTGGTGTTTGTGTATGAATATCATTTTCTTTTTGCAAATCACGTGATGTAACGTCTTGTTCAGAGTTAGATAGAATATGGGTGGATGTAGTAGCTTCTATTTCCATAGGAGCAGTTTCGTCTGTAATATTTTGTGTTGTTCTAAGAGTTTGAGTATCTGTATTTTGGTTAGAAGTCATTTTGGTATTCTTGTTGGACGAAGAATATGTATAATAAATGTCTTCTTCGTTAGTAACTGAGCGATGGGATTCTTCTATATTTTTGAGAAATTTTTTTTGAAATTTTTTTCCTATACGAAAACTCATGTAAATATGTATCGGATCGAGCGTAGAGACCAAAAAAAAGTGAAAAAAATAACAGTTGTCTATGAAGAAATAGCAGTTTTTAATAAATTTCTTCCTAAAAATTTTGGTTTTAACGATCGTCCGAAAGAGTTTCTTTTGGTCTTCGTCTGGTAAAGTATTTGTTAATTTGGTAGACATTTAATATTAGTTATTGAAATCACGTGATTAAATCCATTAAACGAAACATCAAAAAGAGCCCGATCTCGCTCCATTTAAGCTGTACAGTAGTAACAGTACATTTTCCTGACACAAATGATGAGCAAAATCATGTGATTATGTTGTTTCATATTAGCTAATTGTAGAAAAGCCCTTCTAGCCTTAAATTTTACTCTAATAGCCTATTTGTAGTAACTGGCATTTGTAAGGTTTAACCGACAGGAACCTATAGAGCTTCACTTATGGGACTAGCTATTTAGTGAAAATATCGGATAATCAACGCTTAGCGTTGTTATATTTCAAATTTATGTTCAAACAAGTGACATGCTTCCTTCCATAATAATTCCAGTTAATTGAAATCCAAGTTGGTATAAACGATAAATACAGAATTAGGAATTACCAATTAGTTGGTGGACAAAATCAAATTAACGTTGATATCACTGTAAATTTCGAATTAGATGTACGATATTGCTCTAACCACGACATTAGGTTGACGACTATTTTCATGACCACCCTTTGTACAGTAGATATTCTTCATGAGCTTTGGTAATCTTCGTAAATAGATTAGGACGAGGTGAAAAAGGTACAAATTTTTAGAATTATTTTTTGAGGATCTTGATCAACCACTAATAAAAGACTGATGAAATAATCTATATCATTTTCTTTAATCATGAGATCATAGTCACTTAAATTATTATATTCTCAGTAATTAATTAATAAAAATTGAAAAATTTATATACAGTATAAGAATAATGAATAAGAGTTGATCAAATAATTCTAGGTAATAATGAAGGAAGAGATGAAAGAGTTAAAAGATATAGTAGGACTATAGTAGGAAAGTAAAGTTTGAAAAAAATGAATGAAGTATAGTGTAGGAGAGAAATATTTATATCTTAAAATTCATAGAAACTATAGAAACTGAAATAATTTAATAATAATAAAAGTGATAAACGCACCATAATGTACTGTTTACATTATAATTTCATCCGTTCCTTGTGAAATACGTAAATAAAGCTTTATATACAAGCTTACTTCAAGGTTTAATTTTTATTGTGGAGATAATGGTGTTTCGTTATTTCGTGTATTTATATCAAACTCAATAAATTTTCAACTATTGAATGAGGTAATAATTTACACCTGACATATTAATTTATTGTATAATATTGATAAAAAAATCCATGATCGTAATACATTTTTATTGAAATAATCGGAATTTTCTTGGATAACTTTGTAAGTTATCAAGTAGTAATTTTTATCATTTGGTGTATAATGAAAAAATCTTCCCTTAGTAATTAGCAAACGTTGAATAATTGTTGCGACTGGATTAATAACAGTAGCTGATGAAATAGACATGTTGCTTCTTTAGGAGACTTAGTTTTATAATATAAATGAAAAAATTATATGTTAGTTAAAATGTGGAGAGCTCCCAAGCCTTACTGCGTGAAACAGTGCATGTGCATGACCGTACTTATAAATTATCCAATTAGCGCGAGACTGCGGAATTCCATTAGAAAATCAAAATTCTCAAGCAAAAAATTATATGTTAGTGATGGAGTATGCTGATTCTGGTACCCTTAAAAATTATTTGAAAGTAAAGTAACTTGGCCAACGTATAATTGATAAAAGTGTAAAATTTATTCAATGATTTAATGAAAGAGTGAAAAGGAAAGGGGATTTAGGTTTTATAAGCTTTGTAATTATTTTTGTCATTGCATCATTAAAAAATTCTGTAGGATAAATGAAATTCTACGTCAAATCAGGAAAAAGTCTCTGCAACCCCAAAAATTTTTTCGAGGTTAAGAAAAAAAAACAAGTATTATAAAAAATAATAGCACGACATTGAAAATGCGACCAAATTTGTAAATGGTTAAAGAATAAATGTAACACAACCCCCATTCTGTTTGAAAATATTTTGTATGCAGTGATTTATTGTTTTCGTTACACTTTGTTTTCTCATATGATTATCTATATCTTTTCATAAGTGGATATGTCCGTTTTTTTTAAAGAAAAAAGAATAGTGATTAGTATTTGAACGTAAATGTTTACAATAGAGGAATAAAAAATAAATATTTGGTATAACGATTTCTTTTATTAGTATCTTTATTTACTGACTTTTTAATTAATTAGATATTATTCCTACTATTCAAATATATACATATACAGTATATATGTATGTAATAATCGATGCAGGTTATTAAAAAATTTATATTTTAAAATTTTTGATTATAATCAGAAATTCTGATGGTATTATTGATAATACTACTATATAAGTAATTATTTAACAAGAACTAATGTATTCAATGGTTTTAAAAAAGGAGAACCAATTTTTTCTCTGTATTATAAATGCTTAATATTCAGTACCGTGTAATAATATAATGTAGGACGCTGACCGACTCTATTCAGTTATATTTCTATAATGATTCTTATTGTAAAAAATTTCCTAAAGCTCTTGAATTTATTGTGATTTTGAATTATTTAATAAGAAGGAAAGAGTTTAAACGAAATTATTATGATAAACATATTTTAATTAAATTTATTCGATTTATTATATTAATTTTATATGAGCCGATGCACTGTTCAGAATATTATAAATTTATTTACTTTTTTTATTTTGTATATTTATTATTGTTTTCTTGTTCCTCAAAATTGGAAGGTACGTTTTAATATTCTTTTTATATCTACAGTACTATCAGTACATACCACATAAATACAGTTTTTTTATGATTTCCCTTCTTTGATCTTATTCATTTGAAAATTGCTTTGTTATGATTTCCTAATTTCGTCGATTAAAGTTTATTACAGTTTTGTGTATCTGAATGACACGTTGATCTCCCATATTAGATTACTATAATGCAATAAATACAATAAATATTGATCATGAGGTTTATAACATGATCAAGCTAAAAAAAAAATATTATTTTGAGGTTAATGTACTTTGATTAGATTATATTTATAGGAAGCATTGTATAATTAAACGAAAAATAAAGAACATTTTCTATTATATTAAATTTTCAATGACTAATGAAACAAATTAAGAAATAAATTCGACATTTATTTTTATAAAATTTTAAATTTATTTTGTGTAACTAAAGATTCCGAGACTAACCTTATTTTTTTCTACTTATGATGAAACGATGCATAATAAACAGACAAACAAAGATCTACCATTCACAACACAAACACAAGAAGTTTTTGATTAAATTTATAATTTCGATTTCAAAATCTGATATTCTAGTCCTATCAATCTGATTTATGCACTTTGTTAACAATATCTCTATTGATAATATTGTTCTTTTTATCGGTTCAAGTATAAATATGGTAAAAAAAATTTCGTATACTTTAATCGATAAATTAATCTATATTTATACCTTCTTTATTTAAAGACATAAACAAACAAAAACTAAGCTAAAATAGTTAGCTTTATTGTTTGGTAATTTTATACCGATCTTGTATCATATATATAAATACACCAAACCCGATTGCAAAAATTCTATAACCTGTTTACCTTTTTTTCATTAAAATTATTGAAAATAAAACTCCGATTGTTTAATAAATCAAAGAAGCAACATGTCTACTTCACAAGCTACTGTTAATCCAGTCGCAACAATCGTGCAACGATTAATTACTAAGGGAAGATTTTTTCATAGTACACCAAAGGATAAAAATTTTTTTTTAATAACTTACAAAATTGTTCAAGAAAATCCCGATTTTTTAAATGATAATGATCCTGATTATAATTTTAATTACGATCATGAATTTTTTTATCAATATTATACAACGAATTACTTTGTCAGGTGTAAATTATTACCTCATTTAATTGTTGAAGATTTACTGAATAATGAGCAATTTGATATAAATACACGGAATAATGAAACACCATTATCTCCACAACAAAAATTAAACCTTGAAGAAAGCTTATATATAAAGCTTTATTTACGTGTTTCACAAGGAACGGATGAAATTATAATTTAAATAGTACGTTATGGTGCGTTATCACATCTACAAACTTATTAAATTATTTTGGTTTCACGTAATAAATTAGGATTTTTAAAAATAAAATATTCCTCCTTACACCATACTTCCTTCATCTTTTCAAACTTTACTTTCCCTCATCACAATTCCTTCACCTCTTCCTTCATTATTACCAAAAATTAATTAATCAACTCTTATGAATTTTTATATTTCATGATTAAAATTTTTTACCATGATGGTTCCAATTTTACTAAATTAATATAATACTTAGTTAATCAGAATCTCGTGATTAAAGGAATGATATAGAATTATTTCATTTCCTATCAGCTAGTCCTTTAGTAATTAATTAGCTCCTCTTAACGAAGATGCCGTAGATATTCAATTAATGCAAGCGAGAGTTCACAAAGATTACCCCAAAGGCTCTTCGTCTGGTCCTTCTACTACTCCACCTTTGACCAACCCTACCAATAAACGTACCAGAGTCGCTGCTTACGACTCTGTCATGGATGTTGATAAACCTCTAATGGTTATGAAATAGCCGTCAACTTAAGAGCGATGGAAAAATATGAGATTCCATGAAATTTGCAGTGATGTCAACGAACTCGTGATGCAAGGTGCTGCTTCAATTTCATTTCCCTCCTAATCCACCAACTGATTAGATAATTCCTGACGGTTGATCTTGGATTTCAATTGATTGCGGAAGAAACATTTCATTTGTTATGATGAAGATTTAGCACAACCAAATCCCTTTGTCACCTCTTTCATCAACACCTTTATTAAGCGGATTTAATATTTACTCTACAAATCTATTCGCCATCTCCACCCACCCCTTTCAGATGAAGAATCAGCTTCGGCAAGGACGCAAAAACAAACTAATTACTGCATACATACGATCATATTATGTAATCACCAGAATATAGTTATAGAAAAATATCACTTTCTCTCCAACAAATTTCTGGTGAAACATTTCTTAAAAAAGATAGTAAATTTCTTTCACGAAAGGACGTCCTAAGATTCCACTTGAGGATATATTGATGATGCAATTAATGGCGACGATGATAACTTCACTATCACCTCGGCGTCAATCCATATTCTCTGATGACGACTTCCTTGTTAATTAGAAACGTCATGTCATGTAAGGCTCTCTAAGTAAAAAAGAAAAAAAACAATTTCCTTTATTTTTGAACTATTTCATATTTGACGGTATTTATATTTACACATGGTGAAAGAAAAATAAGGAATATTAAAATTAGATAGATACCTTTTTTAAAAAATTTTATTTCTTGATTAGGGCATTTTAATTTTTTTTTAGTTTTAAGCTAGCCGAGCCGAGTATTTAAATAACAGGTGGAGCGGTTCCATCTTGGTGGGATTTAACTATTAATATGTAGTTTTAATTTATCTTGTTTATATTATAAAAATAAAAAAAATAATAAAATTAATTTACTTTACCAGGCTCAACAATCATAAAAAAAAATTTAAGAATTCTTACATTCTTTATATAAATTTATACAGTATGTAATATCTGTTATTTACATTCTTATAACAACAATTTTTTACCTTCGATTAAATGTACAAGTGTCAAAGAGTCTAAGGTCGAAAAGTTGGACTACAGTAGGAAAACCTTCCTTTGTATAAACGAATTTTCCATGCCAAAAATTTTTTGTATTTCTGATATACGTATATTAGGATAGATAATAATCGACCAGTAAATAAGAGAAAGAAAATAATTATTTTTTTGGAAGAAACTCTCATGATTAACATATTAAAATGAATTCCGCCCCCGTTGTCCTATGTTACTCAACATTTCCATAACAATCACATGATGTACAGTACCAAAAATAGTCTACAAATTGTTGCGACTGATTAATAACTGAATAAAAAGTGTAAATTTATTCAATGATTTAATGAAAAAACGAAAAAGTGATAGAATTTTTATAATTTTGGGAAAGGTTTTGTTCATAGTGCGCTAAATAATAAAAATTTTTGTTAATAATAAAATAATTTTAAAGATTATGATAAACTGACCGTACGTTTCAATCAAATGCTATGACAATCATATGTTTATTTAGTAACTCTGTAAAGACGTAAAAACTTAGCAACATAATTAAATATTTATATAAACCCAAAAAAAATCGCCAATAATTAATTATTCAATTATACATCAAAGAAGCAATATGTTTAATTCTACCAGCTACTGTTATTAATTCAGTTGCAACAATTTTGTAACGTCAGTTATTTATTAAAGGAAGGCTTTTGTTTTGTAAACCAAACGATAAATTAACAAAAAATTATTCAAGAAAATTCTATTTTTCTAACGAGAAAAAGAAATCGGGGCCTATAAAAATAGGTTGTACAAATTTTGCAAGAAAATTCCGAATAATAATTGAATAATAAGAATTTTTAATTGTTTTTATAATATTATTCTCATGTTATTTTAAAGCCAAGAAGCTCAATATAAAAAATGTTTAATGTTTATTACATATTAACAAGAATTTGGCCTAAAAGTTTTTCATATCCTCAAGAGAAATAATTGAAAGTTATTTAATAATTAAATTGAAACGGATGACTTGCTTTTTTTTTTAAAAGTAAATCCAAGAATGGAAAAAATAAAATTTATTGATCGATAAGTTGAGTAAAAGAGAATACATAAATGTATAAAAACACTCTAACCTAAACTAACGAAAGGGCAGAGAGGATTATGTTTAAAAATTTAAAGCCACAAATTCTAAACCTAAACTTAATAAGTTTAATTAAAGTATCTAATATTTATAGTGGATGGCTTTTTAATATAGAAAATCATTTATTATTAAACTTCAAAAAATATAATTTTAATAATCAAATATGATAATTTCTTCAAAATAAACTTATTTATTTTATTTATAGCTTTAAAATTAACGCCATAAGAATTTCTGATTATAATTAAAACATTTTAAAATATAAAATTTTTTAATAACCTGCATCGACAATAAGCTTCCTTATAATTTCTTTGGTCTTGCTAAAATTTCTTGTCGCTATATTTTACTTTGTGTATAGAAATAATATGTAATTAATTAAAAAGTCAGTAAATAAAGATACTGATAGTAAAAGAAACCGTTATATCAAATATTTATTTTTTATTCCTCTATCTGTAAACATTTACATTCAAATACTAATCATCATTCATTTTTTTAAAAAAACGGACATATTCGCTTATGAAAGATAGATAATCATATGGAAAAACAACGTGTAATGAAAACAATGAATAACTGCTACATACAACAATCAAAATGAATGAATGAATGACCTGGTTGATGTATAATTGAATAATTAATTATTGGAGATTTTTTTTGGGTTTATATAAATATTTAATTATGTTGGCTAAGTTGTTTCATATCCTCAAGAGAAATAATTTAAAGTTATTTAATAATTAAATCGAAAAATGTAATAGGGCTTTTTTTTATGCATGTGGAGCAAAAATTTACATACACCGAATGAATTTATTGGTTCCCCTTTTTTGAAAAAAAATTTGTACAATGATGATCATCTCCGCTCTTTTCCGAGGTAATTATAAAAATGTCTCAACTTTCATCAAAATAAAATTCACAAAAAAAAAATTAAAAAATGGAGTCACTATACAACGAGTTAAGAATCGAAATATTCAAATTTGTAGATACACCAATTTCACTCGCTCTCACTAATAAAAAGTGGTATGCAATCTCGCAAGATCCGCAGTCTCGCGCCGATTGGCTAATTTATAAGTACGGTCATGCTCATGCACTGTTCCATGCAGTAAGACTTGGGAACAGCTTTCTAACAAGCGAAGTATTACATTCTTTGCTAAGTAAAAATGCAATAATTTCAAGATATTTCATACAGCGTCTATTGATGCATTTCGGACCATATGATGAAAAGTTGATTGAACTCAAAATTGAGCATGATAATGTGAATCAGGTCGATTTTGATAGAATTCGAGCCTTTCAAAAAAAATTAAGTTCTCCATGGGCATCTAATTTACCCTTACCAATTTTTACAAAATTGATTACTGCGGGTTATAATATTTTAAACGATGAAAATCTCGTGATCAAAGGAAATGATATGGAATTATTTCATTTTCTATCAACTGGCCCTTTAGTAATTAATCAAGCACCTCAAAAACTCTTTCAAAGTCTTGGTGAGGATTTAATAATAAATAAAAAATTCGTACGTCCAAGAAAACTTTTATAATTATGATAAAAACTTAATCACGTGAGGAAGGCTAGGAATTCACAAGCCTGGTTTAATGGAAGAAATTTACGAAAAAAATATAAAATTTGGGTTTTATATAAGATACGATAATAAACTTCGTCTCTGGCTATGCAATAATTTTTGATCGCTGTCGCACAATCTACGTTTGATTCGTCTTTTTTTACGTTGTTTATTTTTCCTTGGCCTCAAACCCGTTTTTTGGGTTGCACAGACTTTGGCAACTTTTACCTGCATGTGATGTGAATTTTATTTACCGAGAAAACTACAGAATTCCAGAATAGAAGACGCGATTCATAATCTCGTATATGCAAAATTTTTCTAACATGAAATAATATAAATAGGAATAAATGACTTGTTATTAAGTTATTATTCGGAAGTAAATTAGCCCCTTTAATCTATTTCCAAATTTGGACACATTTCAATGTAAATAAATGTAACACAGCCCCATACTTTGAAAAAAAATTTTTGTGTAATTATTAAAAAATAAGCTAAAATTAATATATGCAGTTTTTTACGACAGTTCATTCATTCATTCGTTTTGATTGTTGTTTGTAGCAGTTATTCATTGTTTTCATTACACGTTGTTTTCCCATATGATTATCTATATCCTTTCATAAGCGAGTTTGTCCGTTTTTTTTTTAAAAAATGAATGGTGATTAGTATTTGAATGTAAATGTTTACAAATAGAGGAATAAAAAATAAATATTTGTTATAACAGTTTCTTTTACTAGTATCTTTATTTACTGACTTTTTAATTAATCTCATATTATTCCAGTATTCCTATTATTCAATATACACAAAGTAAAATATTGCGCCAAAAAACTTCAGCTAGACCAAAGAAATTATAAGGAAGCTTATTGTCGATGCAGGTTATTAAAAAATTTTATATTTTAATACTATACTATAAGTAATTAATTTAACAAGAATACACTTATTCTATTGTTAAAAAAGAGAACCAGTTTTTTCTCTGCATTAATAAAAGCTTAATTTTTAATACCTGAGGCAAAACTAAGAAGGATATCGTAATGTTTATGGTATTGCAATAATATGACTCAGAATGTAGGAAGGTAGTGTACGCATATCATACATATGTATATATTGCCGCTTAAAATTGATGATCACTTTATCACATGTCATCAACAAATCACGTTAAATAAGTATCATAATTGACGAAAATCTATACAGTATTGTTTTTTTCTATACAGTATAATTTTTTATCTATACACTATAATTTTTTATTTATACAATCAACAATAACTATATTATCTGAAAATATTGTAAATACGCATACGCAGCAGTTACTGCATATTAAGGGAATTAAGTTTCTGCAATGTAACTAATGTTTCAAATTTTCCTTATAAAAACCATCGAAAAATTTGATAAATTCAAAAATTTTTAAGTCGATTTTTGAATTTACTTTTATTCCAATATCACTCGAACAATTTAATAAAAAAAAGTAGAAACTTTAAGCTTCCTTTATGTGAATATATTGAGGTTTAGGATCATCCATTCGTTCCCATAATATTTTCGGGAACGGCCTTCTATTCCCCTTTCCATTTGTCCTTCAAAAATAAAAATTACAAATTATTTTTATTCTTAAATTTTTTCTTCATAAAAATTCGTGCTTATCTTGATAGAAAGATATTATATTAAAATTGGCTTTTACCTTTATTATTATTTAATAAACCAACGATTATCCTCACTCCATCGTTACATTTCATCCAACTTTATTAACGTTATTAACAATTAAAGAACCATTATGAATATGAATATTCAACCAAATACGCAAAGTAACATACAAATGAATGAATGTAAATTTTTTCATTATGCACCAAATTATGATAAATTTTATCATATAACTTGCCAACCTATTTTACAAGGTTTTGACTCTTTTGAAAATTACAATTATGATCATGGATTCTTTTATAATATTAACCCAGCAAATTATTATGTCACGTGTAAAATACTTCCACGTTCTTTGATCGCAAATATGTTGAATAAAAAAATATACGGAATAGATATTGACATAAATAATTTGGAACGAAAAGAATTATTATCTTTGAATCAAAGATTGGATTTGGAACAAGACTTGGAACGAATTCTTCCTTTTCATCTTAAACAATATCATACTTCTAATAAAGAAATAAGAATGAATTCTTACGAACATGATAATACACAGACAATTTCGATAACTGATAATCAAACTAATTTTGATAATAGCTTTCCTCAACAAACTAGAGCCGGGTATTTTACTAATAATGTCATTAATCCACAACAAGTTGTTTTAAATAATATTTCACAACAAATCCCTGAACGATTACGTTGTAATGGAAATACAGATTCATTTTGTGAGAATATTGGGAATAATGTAATGACAACACAAGCAGTTTTGATCACAGATAGTCAAAACAATGGTTTTCCTCAACTCATACATCCCCTTTCAAGTTCAACATCTTCGGTGCCACAAAATAATGTTACTAATTCACAACAACAAATTGATTTCAATAATATTCCACAACAAATTACTGATAGAGAAATGAGATCGAATTATTATGGAAATTTAAATTCATTTTATGGAAATATTGTGCACGATACACCCGTAACACAACCTGTTTTGACAACTGATATTAATCGTAATTATATCCCAGATGCCTTTGCAGAAACCTTTGGTTTTTACAAAATATGTTGGCGATATTTTTAAAATATACCAGACATATGATATTCCTATTTATGTTATCTCTGTTTTAACTATATGCTGACAATATGTTGAACATATAATATAAAAATCTTATTTTTATATAGTAACTATATGTTAGAGACATGGTAAAATATTATTTTGAATGTTAAATTTATATGGTTATTATATGCCAAATATGTGTCAGAGATATGATAAAAATATTATTTGAAATATTAATTTTATATAGCCATCATATGGTAAATATGTATCAATAATATAATAGAAATTCAATTTTATATAACAATCATATATTGAAAATATATCGAAGACAGAGTAATAATAATAAAATAATATAATAGCCATGTTTCAAAAATAATAAAATAATATAATGATTGTATGATAAAAATTTCGATTTAAATTAAAATTTCCTCCAATAAATTCATCTACGACTTGATTTTTGAAAGAATTTCTCTAGTGTAATATAATAACATAATGTTAGCAATATAGTTGTCTAGCTGATTAAACTGCAGTATAATAAAAACTATTTAAAACATAACTTCAATTAGCCTCATCATGCTTGGTGCTACATGTACTTTTATATTCGTGAATAAAGTGAATTTGAGACATGTGATCAATAAAATTGATTGGAAAGATTCAAAACTAACGTGATTCTTCCAGCTTCTGAATATTATAAAGTGGACATCTTGATATAAAATCAACATAGTTCGTCACCTGAAATTAAATAAAAAATAGTGTAAAATTTGACCATTGTTTGCTTTATGTTAAATAATAAATTCAATTTTAGCA